CGTCATAAAAAAAATTTTTTTTTTGTAATTAACCAAAGAATTTCTTACAACGCATAATATCTTGTGTTATAATAATAATTATTATTTAATAAAAAAACATATAGTTTTTGATTTGTAGATATTATATTCGACATTTAAATTAAATTAATAATAGTTTGTATAAATTGTTATAAATTACGATTGCGGATATATTCGTATTCAGTATGGAAGTGTGTAGAATAGTAATGTGGCCAATGGAAGAACAAACAATTCATTGTGTGAAGCCTCCAGAATGTTTCTCAACTTCTGCGAAACTTGTTTCTTGTAATACGATGAGTTGGATGAATATAACTTCCAATTTAATGTTCACTCATTAAACGCATACTGATAAGTGTAAGTTGTCGACATAAGATCATATATAGAATCATATACAGTGAATGCTATATCTATAATCACATGATGTTAATAAATTCTCGAAATTCTCTTACAATGTTATCAGTGAGTCGATCGGACATTGTGGCATATTTGTTGATGTTTGTTTTGTAAAAGTATATATTAACCAGTCGTTCGAAAAAAAATCAATCGTACGAGAATCACGGCTCATTTGACATTGTTCCTTTTCTATTCATGTATTTATATCATGTCCGTTGTTTTTTTACCGTTTGTGTAACACACGTTCGAAATGTTATCTCAGAACATAGTTTTTGCGCATTTATTTATATGAAGATTTCATTTGCTGATATAAATATAGACGAATGCAATCCATTGTTCTGTTATCACAACTCCAAATTTGACCGATTTTATATAATTTGTATAAGCCTGCAATTTATCTTGAACGCCATCTATGTGGGGCTTTTTCTTTATTATCGAATTATAATTATCTGATGCTATGTGATATTATCAAACTTGAAATTGAACACGTAATCACGAATTGGGTGCACCTAATTTCAAAGTATTGAACTTCAAATTAATATAAATATTTGGTACAGTTCTTTTTTTTTTATTTCCAATTCTTTTAGAATTCCTTAATTCACTTGATCAGTTAATTTAATCTTGGTTATATACTGTATATTTGTTTTCTGCTCTTTATTCCTCTTCATTCTGAATTCCCATTAATAGTAAAGAAAATGAAACATTCAATTGTCCTTTTAATCCAATTCACGCTCCTGATCACCCTGATGTTAACATCATCGTCATCGGCCGATAATAGTACAATAACAGTACATGGCCCTCCACCTGGTCCTCTTAAAGTCGGAACCGCGACTATGTTCAATTGGACTTTTACTGGTCTAAATCCTAATCGTTTGTATCATTTAATGCAGACACTTATGTCCTTAAATGAATTTCTTGGACATTTTTATTAATCAAACTTTTCTTTAATTTAGAACCTGTATATGTACAAATATTCCAATCAAATTGCACTACAAAAGCAATTGAAATTTATTCAAATATAGTAAGTACTACTTTGTTATTTGTCTTTTCCGTTATAATCATTCTCACATTCAATTTCCACTCATTTTATGAATCAGCGTGACAGCGGTCTAACTTATCTCTATGAAGTTCATTACGCATTTTTCATTGGTAGTTGGCCAACTGGTCGTCGAAATATTTACTTTGCTCGTGTGACGAGTGGAGGTGTCTACGGCGATGGCCAGAATTTTACTATCACTGAATAAATGGCCACGGTACTTAATTAAACTATTTATGTCCATAATTATCAAACGAGTTAGCATAATTACCATTAAACTGTTTTTTGAGTTATAATTTAACTGGATAGATTTACTGTATGTAAATATTTAAGGGACATTTATTTATTATCTTAATAAACTTTTTTGGAATCTGGCGCGATGGTCTGTTTCGATAAAAACAAGTGTGATCTGGATTATATAATTGGAAAGTTGCTAGATAAAAATTATTGGGATTAGCAGTTCTATTGGTAAAAGAAAAAATTTTTTTTTCTGATATCGCATACAATGACCGATTGATAATCGGGAAAGAATTCAATGGTTATTAGCTATGTGAGTTGTGTAATTTTGTCTTCTAGAATGATTCCGTAATCCAGTTTCACAATCTTTAAACCAAAATATTGGCTATAACATATAAGAACTAGGCTAGCTTTAATTTTTTAAAAATAATCAAAAGTTATATATGCTTGCATGTTTGCGGGCGTTGAATACCTCCTAATAAGGTTCAAGAACTTGATTCGTAAGTATATTATTTTATTGGTTCGAAATATACCTTCTAAATCGGTTTAACTATGAAAAGCCAATCAAAATTACTTTAACGTTATAGTCTCGTTCTGTACAATAACTAGTATTTTAAAAAAATTAAGTTGTTTAATATAAATTAAATCTTAAATCTTTTTTTTTTTTAATACGTAATTAAAAAAAATTATATATATTTTTTGTAAAGAATTTAATTTGAAAATGGTTATCTCATTTTTTAATAAGGTTTAATTTATACGAGATAGTTATTGAGAATTTACAATAATAATAAAAACACTATTTTCTAGTAAATTTTATAATTATAATTGTTAAAAAATTTAATAAAAAAATAAATAAATATTTCTTTGTAAAAAAAAAAAAAAGAATATTATTATTATCCTCAAAGTTATGCTATTTAATTCTGTTTTTTTAAAATAATAATATATTATATATTATATCGATATTATTTATAATATTTTTTTTAAATTAATAATAATATAAAAATACTTTAATTCATTTCAATTTTCAACAAATAATTTTTAAATTTTATAATTTTATAAAATTCTTTATAAAATTCAATTGATAAATTTAAGATTTCAAAAAATACTATTAATTTTAATATTTTTTAAATATAAAAATTTATCAAAAAATTAATTAAATCCAATATATGTTATTCAAAAATCAATGTAACTTATTTATTAAAATTAGATAAATTAGAAATATCCAATTATTAAATCTTTAAAAATTTATAGAAATTTTTATAATACATTTTTTTTTCAGTCTAAACTTTAATAAAAATTATACCTATTCTTTTTCAGTAATATACAGATCATTTATATATTAATCAATAAAATAAAAATATATAATTATATATTTTTTAATACTTAAATAAAGTATATAAAGATTGTTTATATATTAATCAATAATATTTAAAAGGTCACATGAAAATTGTTATTTAAAATTTCAAATAAATTTATATTCTTAATAACTATAAATATTACAAATCATGATTAATATTTTTTTGATATTAAAGTAAAGTATTGCTTATTATATAATAAAGATTTAACTAGTTACATATTTAATATATAAACTATATAACTATAAATATTAGTCTACTATTTATTGAAAAAACATATTGTTAAAAAAAATCTTAAAATAAAAAAAAATCTAAAAAATTATTTATTATAAAAAATAAAATTAAAAAAATATTTAGATAAAATTCTTATTTGTAAAAAAATTTTGATAAAAGTATATAGTTAATTATTATTATAATAGTAAGATTAATATATGTAATCTCCGAACATATATATGTGGTTTAGTCAAATAACAATATTATATAAGCCATATATAATTGATAGTATTAATATGGATGATAGAGTAATTTTAATTAATAAATATTGTTTCAGATTTATAAGAAATGAGAAATGTTTTGTATTGTTATAGCAATGATTTAATTTGTTATTAAAGATACTAGAACTTATACAAAGCACTAATTATATATTCTTTCAATTTGATAGTTGTTATGTTATTTTGATATATTTGGATAACACATGATATTATTAATATTTTGTATATTATAGATCTTTTAATAAGAGTAAACTGATTTTGATTTTTGTAAATATGAAAATAGCAATAATTAATAATTAATCAAAAGATTGTAATATTAATATAATATTAGTTACTATTAACAAAAAACAAAAAAACTTTAGAAAATAAATGTGACATTTTGAAAATTATATTATTTATAATTTAAAATAAGAGTTGTAATTGTTTTGTATAATAAAAAAAAAACTCTTTCCTACAATGCTTCAATTTGTAAAAAATTTCCTTTTTTGATAATGATATGAACAGTGGACAGTAAACAGTTAGCAAGAATCTCTTCCTGGGAGAGAAGTCCATCTTAGCTTATTGCAAGGTGCATAGGATTAGTTAACTCTCCATAAAGAGATGGATATTTAGGGATGTGCAAAAACCTTTTCAATTAAACCCTTTGCTTTATTGAGTAAAGTCTATATAAGCAACCTCCAAATAAATGAAAACCTTTTTACTTATTCAAACACTGCACTACTTAATATACTCCAAAATCATATACAAAATCAAACACAATTTTATCAACAAGAGACAATATTTTATTTTTTTAAAGTTTTTGTTTTCTGCTGATGACAACTAGTGTCAGATTTATCATAATCTCCTGACTAGTTCTCAGTCCTTGTCAATATTACCTTTATATTCACAAAAAACCAAAATTAGTTTACTCCACCTAAAGATCTACATTTCACAAATAACCAATTACATTTCATTTTATCTTATTAAATCAAAACAATACAACAACATATCGAATTGGAAGAGTGCAAGATTAATGTCCTGCACAGATTCCGATAGTATTATCAAAACAAATTCAAATCAGAAGATACCATACAACTTTGTCTCACATCCAAACACAAACTTGAAATCAATATTCTTTACAGTCAAAAGACTACCACCAATCAAAAACCTTAAATCCAATCACCAAACTATCCATGCCAATCATTTACCTCAACCATAACAGCATTATAACAAATACTATAATAATGAAGTTGTGCTTTATGTTACCCTGCTCACAAAGTAGCCAATGCTTAACTGGAGTGAATAATTTAAGTT